AACCTCAAACACGCTCAAAAAAAGAGGCAAGTTAGCCCAATATACATGATACTAGCTGTATGAAGTTCATGGCTTGAATCTCATTTTCTTTTCAGACAAAAAGTTAATTAAAAGAGCCTGTCTTTTCCGAATCATGTGTAAATTGCTTCCTGCGAGTAGTTATGTACTGGAAGTGAAATTGCAAGCACACAAACAAAGTTGCTATTAAACTTAAATGCTACTTTTGCTTTGCCGTTTTTTGGTCTTTAAGTACCTGACTTTCTTCCATCGGCACATCATTGATGTCAGGTTTTTCATCAAAACCATCAGGCTCAGATGTTGGTCCCTCACCATTTGACTCAGTCTCATTTGGTTTTGCTTCATTGTCAGTGTGTTCAGATTCCTCATATTTTTGTTCTTCAAGCAAAGCAACCTATTTCAACCATTTAAAAATAAAGCATAAATATCAGCATTAAACACATAAAATACAACAAACAAACCCCTGATTGAAAGGCAAATATATATAATGGCATCAGATTACTGAACTGCAGACAACTGACCAACATCAACATATGGCTAACAGAATTGTGTGTCATGAGTCATGACCCTACTATGGGAAAGGATTAATCTGAGTCATAACACCTACCATGGGAAGGATACATTTCACATTCCAAATAAAAGGTAGGGTCAAAAATACCCCTCTACTGTACAGAAAATCTTAATTTTGCCATCTGTTATACTTTGGGATCGTTTTTACTGTTGGCAAAGCATCTCGTATTTTTTCTTGACTCTAATGGAGCATGGACCCTAACCAAAGTATACTCAAGGTAATTTTAAACCGTAGTTAAAAATAAAGGGGTAAATCTGGACCTTTATCCCGAAGTACTTTGACACGTGAAATCCACCACAGTACACCTTGGAGTTTCATTAAGATCACGGCCAAATAAGAGACAATTTGCTAAAAGAATGACTCAATGGTTTAGCGGAGGGTAAACTTAACATATTTCGTATAGTAAAAGGGTTATTTTGACCTTTCCCTAAAAAGAAAGATCAGGTAACCAGTAAATTGACAAGCCACTACACTTTCTTAGATTTCACTTCCCACGTCCTCTTTTGATCAACAAATACTGAAATCAAACTCCTCTTACCGGGACAAGTGTCCACAACATCTCTGCATATGGAGGCATTATAGAGGCTACCAGTATAGAACCTAGGGACTAGAGTAGCATATTACTGAACTAGTAAGACTTCAACTCAATAGTCAATACAATGCCATTCTAAGAGAACCATCTCCCCGGGGCTCCAGCATCCTTCATCCAAGCAAAGAACCATAAACGCAGTAGAAGAGACATGCTTCAGCAAAGCAAGGACTGAGCACCTACATCTTATGTAAGAGAGAATGGATCAAATGTATCAAACTTCATCTTCTCTCTCTCCCTCCTCCCTCCCTCCCTGCTCCCACCACCCTCCACAACCCAGGTAAGCAGAGAATTCGATGTTATTTCAGGCAAATGTTTATGCCAGGTATATCTTAAATGTCTTCTTCACTTTCATGCATCACTGATCTCCTCATTGACAGGGCGCACCAAAAAAGCACCACACAAAACCAATATAGGGAGATTTAGGAGTACTTCTCTATATTAAATGAAGACAACATTAAAAAGATCCCTCTTTTATTCCACTTGTGTTTTTGGTGTAAAGAGAGAAAACTCTATTGTAAAGATAGTCAGCAAACTTCATCGATACCTATGGATGACTCCAGTAGAGTTATGAACAACTTGAAGTCATTTTTGACACCAGCTAGGTGTTAGGCAATGAAACTTTTGACTTACAAAATAAAGCTCTATTAATATTTATAAATAAAAAAAAGACTGAACCATTGTCAGCACCTAAGTATATATTTTAAATATCTTTTGAGATCAGTGTTAATAATCTATGATGATTCCGTAAAATAAATTTATCCGCATCCAGTGTTTACATCAAACTAATGAATGCAAGATATGTGTCTTTCGTACACACATTAGTCACTTAACCATGGTTAAATGACATATATGTTCACTGTAACAATTAAGGTTAAATTGCTTAGTTTGGTGTAAACTCCGGGTGCGCATACTAAATATGTAATCTTTCAAGGTAAAGTACACTTATCTAAAGCTAAAAATTCCATAAAAAAATTAAAATTCAATATACAAACACATTACACATAGTTATCTCTAAATATGCACTAAAGTTCATGCTATTAAAACTCAGAACTGCGAACTCATTGGAAAACAATTACCGGAATATACTTGAATTTACGCTTAGGTAGCTCCTCCACCGCAACGGCGCCGTCGTTAGGGGAGTGATTTTTTTCGCCGTTACCGTCAGCAGTACCATTGTTGTTTTGGCTAGCAGTTATATGTGTCCACTTGAAAAGCAATAGATGAGAACCGTTACTACCTTTAACTCTGCCGTTAGCTCTCTGATGATTGTTGCCGGAGGTCGGCGGCGTTACGTGGATCCACTTTTTCTTCCATCTTCGAACTGGTCCAGTAAATACTGTGGTCGGCCCTCCGTACCTAGTTGATGACCGGCCCAGTCTGGCCCCTACTCCTTCCATTTACGGCGGTGGATCGGTGGCGCAAATATTCTTTTCCGATCACCAGACAATCTTTGTAATTTTGGTTTGCCCTTTTCTTTTTATCTCAATTACAGGAGGAGTGTGAAATAAAACAATAGAATAATATTGCAAAGATGAATTGAATTACAATGTAATAGAAGTGATGTAGCCAACCCGTAACAAACCTTAAAATATCTCTATAATATAATATACATATTCATATTAAATACAATTTTATTTATAACACCCTTAGAATGTCTATTCAATATATAATGTGTCTCGTTAAAAGCTTAACTAAAATAAAATTCAGTGAAAAAATATTCTAGTGAAGAAAAAAGAATACACATGTTTAGAAATACGCCTTTTGATTGCTTCGTTAAAAAACTTGCAAGGAAAATTCAATGGGACAAAACCTTTGTAAGGAAAAAAGAGTACAACGCGTATTCATTCTCCCTAATGAGAGCATCAATTCACATCTTTGAGCATTCGCATCCCAATCTCGTACGCTAGCTTCTTGAAGGTTGACGCCGGTAGAGATTTGGTGAACAAGTTAGCCATATTAATATATTATCACTTGAACGAATCTGTTGCACATTGATATCACCATTCTTTTGAAGATCATGTGTGAAAAATAACTTTGGTGAAATGTGCTTTGTCCTATCTTCTTTTATGAATCCTCCCTTCACTTGGGCTATGTGTTACACCCCATGTTTTCGTACGTGAAAGTACGCCATAAGTAAATTGATGGAAGTTCGGGAATGAGATTATTTTGAGATTATAAGCATTATGCTATTTCAAACAAGTGATAAGTAAATTCGTGAAGGAGAAAGGGGGAAGCAAATCGAAGAAAAGGAATTTCGTCAAAGTTTGACATTTTGAGATAAAATAGGGCCCGAGCTAAAATACCTAGTATTTATAGACTAGTGCCATACAAGGTACCACATGGCCATGATAGTAAGGTGTATAAATTATATTAAAAGTGAGTAGTATTTTATGTAATTTGAGATAATTCTTAATTATGTGGATAATTGGATAACTAGTAATTTTAGTGAGGGTTTAACTAATTAATTAGATTATTTGGATAAATTTGATTAGCCACCTAACGTGGCAGCCCAAGGGGTCTTGATTTAAAGCCCATATAATAACTCCTAATACATGTGAAAGGTGGCATCTTTAGGAGATAATGGTAGGCCAAGTCATACCTAAGTGGGGCCCATATTCATTTTGATAAAGACAATTCAAGTAAAAAGTATAATCTTGCAAAGGCTACTATTTTTAACAGCACACAAATTGTGCCATTTTCATGTCTCTTTTACCATTTCGCATTCATCACTTATCCAACCCTTATAGCAAAGAAAATTCCAACTTCGTGTTCATAGAAATTTCAGCAAAACACTACGTAGCATATCAAAAAGGGACTAAATCTTGAGACAACAAATGGAATCTCTTGTGTAAGTAGAGTGGGCTGATCGTGAGTAAGTAAGAAAGCAAAACAATTCCATATCAAATTCTAAGAGAATCGGTTCAGGTATGTTAAGGTTATCCCTTCTTTCTTTTTGGCATGATCCAAATGATACAAACGAAACGAGCAAAATACGCAACTTTCATAAATGACTCTATTCATAGAAATACTAGGGTGTCTATATTCTTGATTCTCCATGTAAATTATTATTATATCCTCTATTCATGGGTCTCAGAAAAATACGTATTTGATAAAGTTGTCCGAAAGGTATATTGATTTTATGATATTCGAGAAATCTTATGAATGTATTTCTTATGCATTTCATGCATTTATACATGTACATTGACCCATGACTAGAAGGCGTTATATACACGTATATTATATGTATATGGGATAGGAGAAAAGGTTACGGCATTATATACGCACCACCACCTGATCAGCTAGTATACGTTGGTGATTTGCCCACAATGGCCGAAATGATATGATGGGATGCCCTCAGAGGCTTGATGATGTTATGAACGCATATACATATGCATGGTATGACATTTATACGCATATGCATGACATTATAAAAATGAAATGATTCACAGAGTTATTCAGACATACATGTCGAGTCTTTTACTCCATGTTTTCTCATGTATATTGTTTACTGATTTTCATTCCTTACATACTCGGTACATTATTTGTACTGACATCCCTTTTGCCTGGGGATGCTGTGTTTCATGCTCGCAGGTCCCGATAGACAGGTCGAGAGCCCTCCAAGTAGGCTATCAACTCAGCGGAAGATGTTGGTATGCTCCATTTGCTCCGGAGTTGCTTGATTGGTCAGTATGATTTAGACTTGTATTGTTTGGTATGGCGGGACTCTGTCCCGACCTTTGTAAAAATTATGTATTCTTAGAGGCTTGTAGACAGATGTCATGTACGTAAAAGATTGTAGGGCCTTGTCGGCCTATGTTCAGTGTACGAATGGTTATTTTGGTCTTATAGGCCCGTATGTCTTAAGTATAAGTTGGTACTTCATGTTGTATTCTACTTAACTCACGGCAGCCTCTCCGACCCAGTTATCTATGATAGTATGATACGAAAAGATACGTTATGTTGGTACTCGGTTGAGTAAGGTATCGGGTGCCCGTCACGGCCCATCGATTTGGGTCGTGACAAAAGTGGTATCAGAACCGTTCTGTCCTAGGGAGTCTACAAGTCGTGTCTAGTAGAGTCTTGTTCATGGGTGTGTTGTGTACCACACTTATAAGTAGGAGGCTACATGGCATTTAGGACTGTTACTCTTTCTTCTTACTCTAGATCGTGTGGTAGAGCTTAGTCGTAGAAATTCAAATTCCTAAATTCTATTATATTCGTAATACAACGATATCAACATCTAGAAAGACGGTTGGTAGGGGATTGAATATGGCTGTGGAAGAATTGAGCCAGAGGAACTCGATTTTGCATCATGCTTATGATGAGTAAATGTAACGTCTCCAGCTGAATATATGGAGATTAAGACGTGCAAACTTCTTGATAAGGAGCCTTAAGGCAAGAATATCTATCCACCCCTATGGTGAAAGGGAATGAGAGATTTAGAAGATAGATACAAATTTCGACAAGTAAAAGAAGCAAGGTGAAGAAGGGTACGAGGTACCCAGTTAGTAAAGATGAACATTATATACAATTTAGGAAGAGAGATATAAGCATTTTGAGTTATCTTCAACAGTAATAGAGGTATGTACAATTGGTCACACCCATCTCATTTATGCCTTATGGGGGCTAACAGAAGTAGTATAAGAGAAGGATGGATATCAGGATCCGGTTAGGGTAAGAGTATCCCAAAATGGTGAATGGATTGTTTGTGTTAGTTGACATTTCCGAAGGATATAGAAAATGTGCTATTAGATCTCCTTGTGAGATACCCAGATGGTGCACTCTAGAATAGTACAGCTAGATATGAATACTAGAATATTCAAAGACATGCACTGGAATCCTGGAAGGAATAAATATTACATTAGTATGGCTCTCGTCCCTAGTAGAGAGAGAATGCTAGGCAACCTAAAGAGCTAACGGATGAAGCAAGGGGAGCTAAAAGCAAAAGAATGTCTTGTTGAAGTTTTCAAAAGAAAGTGATAAGCAAAAATATTAGCGGGAAAATAAGGAGAGAGATAAGGAAGCATTATGAGTAAGGTGTGATACATGAATGACAACGGTAGATAAAAAAAACAATGACAGTATTACAGAGTCTATAGTCAGGTGAAGGAAGAAACGAGAGGTGATAGGCCTTGAGACAACAAAAGAGTATAGGCCATAAAGTCATATCCTTATTTCGAGAAATAAGTTCATGACTCTAATGTGATTACCAGAGGGTAAAACTAGACCTTTAGAGTAATATAAATCAATATGGGATGGTGAACAAGGTAAACTAAACATGGATTAGGGACTGAGTGATTTAATAATGGTCGACATCATGAGAATTTCATATTTCGTTCTGGCGATAATAGAATAGACAACAGAAGAAAATTCATGAAAAATTCAGAGAATGGTCATTCAGGAAGACACTTCCCTAAAGCAAGCAATGTGAGCAAAGTTAAGCTTAAGGGACTGTATGTGCCAGTTACACTAAGTGTCGCCCTCACGAGTAAGGAAATTTCATTATCCTTGATACATAAAGATTATCGCAAGGCAAGCAAGGGTCATCGATGATGTGAAAAGACACCAAAGATGAAAAGGTAAAACATCTATAGGTAGATCCTCGTGGCTCCAACTCTTAGTACTCCCTAAAGGGGAGAATATGGGTGATGTGGCATTAAGTAGGAATTAAGTAGTTCTAGTAACTATGGAATAGTGAAGGAAGAATGCAAAAAAAAAAAATAATAATAATAATAAATAAATTTGAAAGGAATGGGATTGCACTTATCCAAATCCTACAGATATGCTACGATTCCAGAACATTATGCAAGCACGACGTCAAGGAAAGAAAGTAAGGGTTCCGGCTCGGGATATTTTTGATAAATAAGGAGCCAATGCGAGACGTAAGTTAATACAAAAGAAATAACCCAAGAAAGATTATACGGAATATTGATATGAGAATAGGCCAACGATTAGTTAGTAGTTGATTCAGGAAGAGCCTAGTTATGGCTAGATAAGAGGATACAGACAAATCAATAGATCGTGCAAGATAAACAAGAGTAAACCCCAACATGGGGCATTCAGTCTCGCAGATATGACAGCGTGAATCCTTGAGAAATATTCAGATAAGAGTTGGGGTAGTTAAAGGTACTGTATGAGTATTACAGAAATAAAATAAAATGCCACCGGGAACACTGTCAAAATATCAAGTTTAGAAGCAACCCTACAAGCACAAAGGCGTGGAAGTAAGTAACTACGGATAATTATAGGCAAGGAAGGACATCAAAAGGTCCGTCAAATATACAATATAATAAGCTCACAGCTTTACAAGAGTCAGAGTATCCTCCCTAAGTACTACGATGAAAGACTAGCTGAGGAAATAAGGAAGAAGGCTTCAACCTAAGCACAGTGACCTAAAGAGAAAATGGTCTTGTAACAACAGTCTCACAACAATATTGTATGCACCCCATAAGAAAGTGACACATATCGTGGCTAATGAACGAGAAGAAGAAAAAAATCAAAAGGTGATATTCAAGATCATATGGGTTGT